CTGCCGAGACCTGTGGGACCGGGGGGGGCTGCAGTTACTGCTGAGTGAGGGGGTCAAGTACCCCAAGAACCCTGAGCACCCCCAGGCAGGTGTCCCAAGTATTCTGGGCATCCCAAAGCACCCCAAGCATCCCAAACGCTACAAATATCCTGGGGAACCTCAAGCATCCTGGGCACCCCGAGCACTCCAAGTATCCTGGGGATCCTCTGGCACCATGGACACTCGGAGCAGCCAAGGCATCCCGAAGCACCCCAAGAATTCCTGGGTAACCCCAGGTGTCCTGGGCATCCTGAGCAAACCAAGCACCCCAGGGATACCAAACACTCCAAAATATCCTGGGAACCCCAAATATCTTGGACACTCTGAGCACCCCAGGCATCCCAAAACCCCAAGAATTCCTGAGTAACCCCATGCATCCTGGGCACCCTGAGTACCCCAAGTATTCTGGGGACCCCCTGGAATTTTGGGCACCCTGAGCACTTCAGACACACTGAAGCACCCCAGGCATCCCAAACACCCCAAAATATCCCAGGAACCTCAAGTATCCTGAGCACTCCCAAGCACCCCAAGTATTCTGGGAAACCCTTGGCATCATGGACACCCTGAGCACCCCAAGGAACCCCAAACACCCCAAGTATCCTGGGGAACCCCAAGTGTCCCGGGCATCCTGAGCAAACCAGGCACCCCAAAGCACCCCAGGCATCCCAAACACCCCAAATACCCTCAGGAATCTCAAGCATCCTGTGCACCCCAGGCACGCTGAGCACCTCAAGTATCCTAGGGACACCCAACATCATGGACACCCTGAGCACCCAAGGAACCCCAAAGCACCCCAGGCATCCCAAAATACCCTGGGAACCCCTGGGCACCCTCAGCACTCCAGGCATCCCTAAGCAAACCCAAACAGCCCAAGCACCCTGGGAACCCCAGTTATTTTGGGCACCCCGAGCTCCCCATCAGGACAATCCTTCTCCTCTGCCACACAGCGAGGACCCAGGGGACCAGGGTGGGTGTCCCGGGGTCCCCGCGCTGACCTCCCGCAGGGCCTCGGCGTAGGAGCTCATGTCGGTGAGGATGACCAGCACGTGCTTCTCGCACTGGTAGGCGAGGAACTCGGCGGTGGTCAGGGCCAGGCGGGGGGTTATGATCCGCTCGATCCTGCGAGAGGGGACAGGGTGGGCACCCCCGGATCT